AGGGGAACTTATTCTTAAAGAATTTTCTGTAGCCTTCTTTCAATAAAGTGCTGTTTTATAATTACATGTATAGTTGTTAATATTACATGTAACAGTTTCATTTCATTTTTATTATCCTCACTCTTTTTAGCATTTACTGACTGGGTGACACTAAACGTAGGTGGCACAATGTTCACAACAACAAGGTATGGATTCTCTTGACTATTACAGTCAAACCAAGTGAAGCATAGCCCTCAAGAATACATTTATTTATAATATTGATTAATGTTTGAATATTGAACCTGCTAGTCATTTCAAGAATGCAATATTGCAAATTGATTCTTTGAATATGATTTGAACCTGCTGGTCATTCCAAGAATATGGCTAACGGGTTCTGACTTCAATATTCAAATAATCAATTCATTATTGCAATCTTGAAAATTATGACTATCAGGTTCAAATATTTAAATAATCCATTCAGCAAAGTGTAATGTTGGGTAAGCTTCACTTGGTTTGACTGCAACATCATGAACAGTCTGAGTTATGGACTTGGTTTGGGACAGGGTAACTGTGCTAGATTCTGGATTGAGCTGTCCAGATTTGAGCCCTGGCCAAGGCCACCGCCTTGTGTTCTTGGAATTGGACAAAAAGCTTTATTCTTAAAGTGGCCCCCTTCACCCAGGTGTGTGAATGGGTAGTGGCAAATACTGGGGGGTAACTCTGGGATGGATTAGCATCCCATCCAGGGGGGAGTAGAAATACTCCTAGTTGCTGTTAGTAGTTCCTTAATGCCTCAGAAACATGGATGAGTTGTGATACATAATATTATGGTATACTGAGCCACTTGAGCTTGACTCTGTCGGTGATTTGACAATGTACTAATTCTCTGTCATCCAAGCACAAATTGAATGTGTGCTTTCTACCAGCATGTGCTCAGTGCTCAGCAATTTAAGTGTAGTTTTCTCTGTGTAATGTTATTTTTTACTTTACCTGTCTTTTATAATCTGAGTGTTCTGTTTGTTTTAGATCAACACTGATGAATGAGCCAAACAGTATGTTATCTAGAATGTTTTCTCCAGCAGGTCAGTCCAATAGCAATTTTTCTTAACCAATCAATTATGTAAATGTACAAAAATAGTGCTTGCCTCAGTTTTGCCTAGTTTTGGCACATGGGCTCCTCACAGCAAATTAGGAGACAAATAAGGGATACAATGCATGTTTTGTTTTGTGGCAGCCATTTTGTATTTTCAATATGTGGCAGCCATCTCATGTGAGGTCTTGGACAGCCTAGCCTCCTACACAGAAGCTCTTTGGGCTCATCATGCAATCTTCCTCGCCCAAAGCACATCTGCATTTGAGGCTAGGGACAGCCAAGGGAATTGGGAAATTTTCAGGATATTCAACCATGTACCGAGAGTTCCGAGTAGTTTCTAGACATTTCTCAGTTCGTGAGACTTCACTCTAGATGGCCGCCTATGTCTGACAACTCAAAATGGCCGGCACGGCAAAAAAGGTAATGTTATTATTGATTTGTCTCAATTCTAATTTGATGCAGGGGGCCCCTGTGTTTTTGGTAGTTGGAAGACAATTGTGATAATATGAGGATGTTTTTTATTCACTGGGTAGACTCATGGAGCAATATAACAGATCCTCAAGGAGCTGTTCTCATCGACAGAAGTCCAGTCTATTTTGAACCAATCCTCAATTACTTACGCCATGGACAGCTTATATTGGACAAGGGCGTCAACCCACAAGGTAAAGGTGTGCAAATGCAAACGGCTCACCTTCCCAAGTTTCATTTTATATTAGAGTCTAAAATCGTTCAAGCCTAACTCCCGTGTTCTTAAACAGGGTTCTTGGCTCCCTTTGCGTGTCTCGGTGTGTCACTATTCCTTCCAGAGGTGCAAAGGTTAATTTTTTGACACACGAAAGTAAAGTTTCAATTTTCAGCGTATGAGAGCACTCTAATGCATGGCTGTCACAAGAAGGCATTGTTCAACGAAACATTCGAAACATGTTTCCTTTTTTTTTTTTCTTAAGGTAATCTTAGGTTTGTTTTGCTTTTGTTTTTGTTGTTGCTATTGTTGTTGTTGTTGTTGTTGTTGTTGTTGTTTTTTTTTTCACAATTATTGTTTACCCAAGGCCCTGTCCAAACTATACCGGAGAAATTTGAAAACGTATTACTAATCCTTTTTCTACGGTCAGACCTACCGTCCACACTAATCCGTCACGAAAACGGAGCTTTTCGAAAACGCTCTTCAAACCGGGTGAAAACGCAGGCTTTGGCTTCTAGTGTGGTCGCAAAACATTTTGAAAACGGAACTTTCCTAAGACGATGACGTCACGACAATCGTGTGATTTCCCTGACCGAGTTTTCCTCGAACAAAATCCAAAATGACCGGTGATTGTTGCTTTTTCAAATTTCTCCCGTAGTGTGGACAGGGCCGTATTCTCATTTTCTTCTACAATAGAGAACTACAGTGTATGCTGTCTACGACATAAAATTTTCTGTTAGGTCTAAAATAGGTTTTTAGTAAAAATAAAAAGTGTTTTAATGTCACGTTGGGTTGTGTTTTGGTCATTTATAACAGGAGTTCTGGAAGAAGCCAAGTTTTTTGGGATCTCAAGTGTCTTGGAGCAGTTAGAAGAAATGGTGAAGGTACTCGTTGGGAAGTTTTACGCTTGTTTCCTTGGCAGGAAAATGAACCCTTCCTTGAAAAAGTGCACAAGAATAGAAATACAGTAGGCGCTTTCCATTCAACCTAAAACTCTGGTTATTTCTGGTAATTTCCTGTGTCGGATCACTCGAATGGAACAATATTTTCCAGAATTTTCGTTAAAAATGACAACCTTGCGAAAACTTTTTACCAGGAATGTCTGGCCCTCCTGGAATTTTCGGTTGAATGGTTCGTTTCGAATGTCTGGGAATTTTGGTTGAATGAAAAGTGGCCATAGATTGGGGTTTTGCCGAGAAAAAAAAAATCGAAGAAGGGATGATAAGAGAAGAAGATGCTTCTTAATCGCTCTTCTCCCGACAGCATTTGATTGCTAAAACTCATTGAGATGAAATGCAGGTTGAAATTCTAGTTAAAGCATGCTGTGATTAAAAGCTCAGAAAATTCAAGCTCTTATCGACGAGGCTGCTGCCTTCGGTCGCAATATTGTGATTTCTCAAAAGAATCTCCGTTTTCAGACCTCTTTGCTGTACATGGACCTGTGTTTTGCAGTGAGTGACACTTTTACCCCATTCCCGTCGCCCACCTGCTGTGGTTATCATTCGTGAAAAGAGAGCAATCGTTACTGACCTCAAACTTTTGGCTCTTCGGGTATAATACTCAAGAAGAAATTTTCCAAAAATTCCATATTTCTGGGTGGTTAAATGGCTAATGAGCTGATACATTTTTGTAAAATTTTGATTTTTTATAACTCATGTCGCTGCAAAACTTCTTTCAGAGAGTTTATCCTGCTTTACCCTTTCAATACTGAGAACTTCCATGTAAAATGTTTGCAGCTTCATCAGTAATTGAATCGCTTATGCTGATGAGGTAGATATTGGAAGCAAAGATTCTCCTGTAACCTTACTAGTGTGTATTGCTTTTGTTTATTGTAGAGTATGGAGAGGTCGGATGATGCTCCTCTTTCAAGGAGTGAATTTGTGAAAATTTTATTATCAACGCCGTCAAACTGTGAACTCCGATGTCAGGTACATGTAACTCCGAAAAACACGTGTAAGCTCTCAGTATTTCATTTATATCTCGTGCAATGCAAAACCCAGTGCCGTAAAATGATGTTGGTAGCCTCCCTTCTCCGAAAATGGCTTCCTTCCCCCGCCATCTCTCTCTTCCCTAACTCTCGGGCACAAATCTTTCCGATAAGCCTCCAACCTCTCTCATCTCCCCGCTCTTGGAGGGCGGAAGATAAGAGACACTGGGAACGAGGTTTATAAGCCTCTAGCTTCCGGATATAGCCAGAGGAGCTACGTCACAGTTTTCGCATCTTGAAAAGTTTAGCTTGAATTTTTCAAGTTCGTTGTTCGCAAATGTAATCCGTGTTAATCTTCTCCATCCTTAAACATCCTTGTTCCGTCATGTTTTGTTATTATCTCTCTGGTGTTTTCCTCTTTTAGTAAACGGGTCCTTCAATGTAAGGGTAATTTTGTACGTGGCTGAAATCACTCAAAAATCCGCGACTGAGCTCCTTTAAGGGCCCGCTCAGAAAGAAAGAGTACCATGTTTTCTTTCAGTTACGTGTACNACTCTCGGGCACAAATCTTTCCGATAAGCCTCCAACCTCTCTCATCTCCCCGCTCTTGGAGGGCGGAAGATAAGAGACACTGGGAACGAGGTTTATAAGCCTCTAGCTTCCGGATATAACCAGTGGAGCTACGTCACAGTTTTCGCATCTTGAAAAGTTTAGCTTGAATTTTTCAAGTTCGTTGTTTGTAAATGTAATCCGTGTTAATCTTCTCCATCCTTAAACATCCTTGTTCCTTGATGTTTTGTTATTATCTCTTTGGTGTTTTCCTCTTTTAGTAAACGGGTCCTTCAATTTAAGGGTAATTTTGTACGTGGGTGAAATCACTCAAAAAACCGCGACTGAGCTCCTTTAAGGGCCCGCTCAGAAAGAAAGAGTACCATGTTTTCTTTCAGTTACGTGTACATCTATCATA